AATATTATTTTTTGGTAATAGGCCCCGTGGAAGCTTCCATATCTCTTTCTGGTTACCAAGAACTACAAGTTCTGTTTTATCTAAGTTAAGCGCTAAACCAGATAATTTGGAAAAATTTGACAAAATATTTAGAGAAACTTTAATGGAAGAACTATCTCTAAGAATCAGTATTGTATCATCTGCATAAACAGAGTATTTTTGTTGATGACCAGAGGGTAATATAATACCTTTAACAAGGTCTTTATTTCTAATATGGATAGCTAGTAACTCGATCGAAATGGCAAAAAGTGCAGTTGACAGAGGGCATCTCTGTCTTACACCTTTATGCAGATTAAACCACCCAGTGCTGGTACCCCTATTGATTATTGGTACACAACTTTGGATGTTTGTATAAAAGTCTTAACCCATCTAATTAACGACGGGCCAAAACGAAAAAAAGTTGTAAGGCTCTGAAAAGAAAGGGCCACTCTAACGAGTCGAAGGCTTTTGCATAATCTAAAAACAGTAGTGCAGCTTTGTTTCCGGTTTCTTCACACCATTCAATAATTTCACTTAATAAACGAATGTTTTCGGTGATTCGCCTACCCTTAATGAAAGCCGACTGGTCCTCATGGATAATAGATGGCAAGACATTTGCGATTTTATTAGCCATGCAACGACTTGCTAGTTTATAATCTGTGTTTAATAATGAGATCGGCCTCCAGTTCTTAATCTGAAGTAGGTCTTTTTCAGGTTTTGGTAGTAGGATTACCACAGCCTGTCTTTGTGTAACTAAGAGAGAGCCATTATTATATGCATAATTTAACGAATTTAGGATCGAGTCGCCAAGATCTTCCCAAAAGAAAAGATGGAACTCTGGTGGAATACCATCACTGCTAGGAGTTTTATTTTTAGGGGTATTTTTTAAAGCCTCAGATATCAGGGCTTTCATTTCTTCAACAAAGTTTTCATCAGTCAGAAGGCTACAGTTAAATTTCCAAAAACCAGGACCTCTTGAGGTGTCGGGGGGGGGGGTATCAAATGTAATTATAACCATACTATGATCTGTACAGATACTGGGAACAATGTCACAGTTCTTAACGAGATAAAGCAAACGTTCTGGTATCTAAAAATAATCTATCCTTGAACCAGAATTTCCCCGTCTCCATGTAAAACAAAAGTTTGTTGGATTTAGCTGTCTGTAATTCTGCATAAGAGTGTGGACGGCTTTCCTAGCCGGGTGTTTATTGTCCAAAGAATTTCCACGTTTATCAATAATTGGGTCAAGGGAATGTTAAAATCACCTGCAATGATTACATTTGAGCGCGGGAAATTCTGGTTCAATATAGAATTGAAAGACGTGTAGAATATTTCTTGTTCTCTACTACCATTTGGGGCATATACATTAGTGATAACGAATGAATAATTACCCTTACAAAGTTCTAAAATAACATATCTACCTTGCACGTTCTTAACCAGTGAATGTTTTTTCAGTTTATCTTGTAAATACTGATATTACAAAAAAATAATTCTGGGTTTCATCTCTCTTCATAGCTTAGCTGGAATGTCACGAAGTGTGACTGTAACAGTTGCTTATATCATGACTGTAACTGAATTTGGATGGCAAGATACGCTGAGAGCCGTAAAGTGTGCCAGAACGGTAGCCTTACCAAACTTTGGATTTCAGAGACAGTTGCAGAACTATGAACATACCAGCCTGCCAAATGTAAGTTTTGTATCCTCCGTTGCGGTACATATACATATATACATATAATAATAATAATAAATACAAGTTTATATAACGCCTAGTATCCATCGCAGTGATGCTCAATGACGCTTAGTTTCACAGATAGGCTTGCTGAAACAGGTAAGATTTGAGTTTGGTTTTGAAGATGTTAACATTTGGTGCAGAACAGATGTCATTCGGTAATTGATTCCATAAAGATGGCGAGGAATGGGCGAATGACCGGTCACCATAATTCTTGAGATGAGTCCGAGGTACGGCAAGTGTATGTTTCTTACTTGAGCGAAGGGTTCTCTGGTTTTGATTTTTGTGAATAAGATTCGATATGTAGGGTGGTGTCAAACCATTTGTTGCTATCACTGATTGCTCCAACATAATAAAGTGTGTATATTAATTGTTTACCTATTTCTCATTTTGATAAATGTTAGCGAGAATACTTAATAATCATCTAGCCTAGTAACTATCCAATGGTTCCACTTTCTCCCACTTCCCAAACTAATACGCAGATTTGATTAGGTTTTTGTAGAAATTCATGTATGTTAATTACTTAATTTGCATGATAATATGCTAATTTTAGCCACCTGTTCCATGACTGTTCCACTGATATCTAAAGAGCAATTATTGGATTTTGATGAAACGTGGTACATAGATGCTCTGAACTAATGTGCATTTGATTAGTTTTAGGTGAAATTCTGTGCATATTAATTACCTAATTTGCATAATGATTAGTCATTTTTTGGCTTTTCTACTGATATCTCAAGTACTAATCACTACTAAGGCATTTTTGATTCATAGAAACATGCACATTTATAAACTACTCAATAATATCATGACTGAGACATTGTGAAACTTGGAATCCTGTGATTCTGCATGTTTACAGCTTTTGATCCACTGTACTTACTATTGTATCATGTATTGATTTCTCATTTTAGGACAGGAAAAAACTGAAGATAAAGTACCCAGACGCAGCCTTTGATGACAACCAATCAGTGAAAGAGCTTCTGGAAATCTACCATACAAAGAACAGCATTGAGAAAGACCTGTATCCATTGCCACACAATGCATACTGTCGTAGAGATGCCCAAAGTAATGAACACAAGCCTTGACACACCTCAGGAAAATATGACAAGGTATCACACTAAAAATACAGTGAAATGTATTTATTTGGTAAATGATGAACCATTAGGCCGAAACAAAAATTGTTTTGTTGCCCTCAGCGACCGACTGAAAAATATGAAATATCTGGTCGCATTTTTTTTTTTTTTCTTTTTTTAATAGGCACAAATAATAAAAACTCACCATTTTAAGCTGTAAAAAAGTGTTTCCTCTAAAAATTAACGATCCCGAATCGTTGTATGATCACCAGGGTCCCCGGGTTGATCGTTATTTAAATACAAAAGACTGAAAGAAACACTTTGATTTTTGTGTTTAATATCTAGCATGCGTTTGATTGATTCCCATATACCTCGGCTATTTACAATACCCTTAGTTTTTACGAGTTTTTAAAAAAAAAAAAAAAATTGGGCCGACCAACCAAATTTTTCAATTTTCCGACTTGAGGGCAACATAAGTTTTTTTTTTTTTTTTGGCCTTATATTTGGTGGGTTTATCTGCAGTAATTATTTAATTACAGCAAACCATTGTTTTCATTAAGCCGTTGTGGATACTGTAGAATACTTTATTTTCGCTTGGAATTTATTTTCGCTATTTTCGCTGAAGGGATGTTTCCGTGAAAATAAAATCCAGCGAATATACTTTTTTTCCTATATTTCACATTAAACTCATCAAAAATCAGTGAAAATAAATTCCACACAAAATGCCCAAAAAGCTTTTTCAGCGAAAATTAATTCCAGTGAAAATAAAGTATTCCACAGTATGTTATGAATGCAAACAAAAGTTATGCAATGATAATCTGTTCAAACATTGACATTCGCCACGTTGCGGATGAATTTATCAACAATAATGGTTAATTTGGTACTGTAAATCACTTAATTTTGTGAGAAAAATTTTTTCGTGTGTCAGTGAAAATTTCTCTGTAGTGTCATCGACTTTCATATAGTTTGTCATGACAAATCTCATAAAAACGCATAGAATTTTAGCCGCAAAAATTAAGGGATTTACAATATATGAGTATTCTCCAAATGGAAAGATCCGTGTACCAATTAAGACATTTCGAAAACTCTTCATTTTTATTCCAATAAAGTGCAATTATAAATATTTTAATCTTCTATATGGTGAAAGGTTACCAAAATAGAAAACGTAGGAAATAAACTAGGTATTGAAGAATAAAAAAAAAAACGTATTGCAATTATACACAACTACCAGTACCCAAAGAAGAAAGGAAATGGTCAATCCCTTTGCTAAGGATGTAGCAATAGAAATTAATAATTATTTAAATAACAAGCTTGATGGTGTTTCACCCAGTGCTTATTAGTATACATTATGCAAATCAGATAATTTTAATATTTAAGTGAAGGTAAAGTTAGTTGGTGACCAATCAGTGGTACAGATATATATACTAATTACAACATTTCCAGTCTCTTGGATAATTTTCTTGTAAATTCAATATTCTAATCATGTATCAAATTGAATTTTGTATATCAATAGTAAACAAGGTTATTAATTATTTTTGGTTATAGACAAATTTTTATCATGTTGTCTGCTTGTATTCAGTTTCATTTATATTTTCACAGGGTACTTACTAAAAAAGAAAATTTGTCATTTTTTTCTTAATTTATATAAATTCAACACATTTATATTTAGTGTTCTTGTTAAGTTCTGTTTGGTGATGCTATGTTTGTTTTTTACTTAGAAAACTCATCCATTCAGACAGTGCCTTACTAAAACAATCTATATTGTTCACTGCATGTAGTTTGTATGATGAGCTTTGATTGGCTGTTGGATAATCCAGACATAACCAGTTTTAACCAGATTGTGTCAAATTCTAATATAAACCATTTGAATACCAAAATCAACTTTTGTAATTAAATAAACTCTCATTTTTTATTCTAAGGCATGATGCACACAATGTGGGTCCTTATCTCAATAACCATTAATAGAATCTCAAGATTTGATAACTTACTTTATCAAAATTCATATAATTACCTCACTTGTCAGATTTCAAATATGCAAATAATTTAGGGTTTAAATTTGTCCATATTAATTATCTAATTTGCATAGTCAGGCAATTTTAACCACTAAATTGGTCCATCCATGTAGATGCTTTTGGATAAAAAACAGACATATGTCTAGAGTTTTCTGTTAATATAAACTTCAATACTGTGGATCTGATTGCTTTTTCATCTTCTATCAATCAGCAGAGCTATATTAGATGGTATAACTTTGCATCAGGAAAAACTTTGCCATTCATTGTGAGTTAAGACCAGACGCAAAAAAATAAATTGCTTTGTTAGATTTTTATAAGAAAATCTAGAGGAGGCAAGCAAATTGCAAAGAGCGAAGAGCGAAGATTTGGTTTTAAATGCTTAAGAAACTAATTTTTAATTTTATTTTATGCTAACCAGGATCATGGCTGATTCTTGAAAAAATTTATAGAATTACAAATAGGAAAACACAGCCTTTTTGTTACCTGTGTGAGCTTTGTATCTTCGAACACCAAAATACATTTGGAAATTATACAAGCCACACATCTTCAAAGCAATATATTTTTTTCAATTGGCCTAAACTGCAATTTGTGAAAAAAATTATCACCATAGTAACATGTATAATTTTAATTAGATTTTTTTAAACATGAGTTTATGATGAATGAAATCCAATCTTTTAACTGTATTATGTAAATAGGCTAGATAATTTAATGTGATTGGATAAAAGTGATCACATAATACACATTGACCAATCAGGGCATTATATTTTATAGAACTGCCTCATCTTCTCCCATTATTAATTATTCTATGTATATTTTATACCAAATAATTGAATATTCATTAAATTTGTATGTTTTTGTTTATGACTTGAGAGACTGATATTCAGTGAAAATACATTAATTTGTTTTAATTATCATACTAACATGTTTGTACAAGCATATTAGATATGAATCAGTGTTAATTATGTGTTCCTGAAATCACAAATATGGTTATTTTTGTTCTTTTTAGCTTTTTTGTTTGTGAATTCTGTATTCTGTAGCAGGATTTTTGCATTGGTTATGATATTATAAAAAAAAATTATGAATTACCTATGTGACAGAATATTTTATTTTGCTCTCACTTTATTTTCAAAACTGACATAGTGTTTTCAATCATTAGATGTTTTTGGGTGTTAAAAAACAATATTTTTCTGCTTTTTATTTACTCACAGACACAACATGACAATTTGACAGTTAATAATCCCTATACATAGTACTTTTCACTGGGTTTTAATTTTTCTATTTTTGCTGATAAGTAAAATACGCTAAATTAAATTTACGTGAACATGGAAAACAACAATAAAACTCATTGTGAATATGGTGAATATGCTCAACACATCGAAATGGTGAAATTAAATGTCAGTGAAAATAAATGGTTTTACAGTACATGCAGGGCCTAAGATAAGCCGA